TTTTCAAACCCACAACACCATTCAATACTAAACAGGCACTCAAATACCACACGTGGCAACATGGTAAGGCACAGACTTTCTGAAAAGTAACTTCACACTTACACTGACAGTATTTAAACCTTCAGACCTTTCAACCCAGAAATTCCACTCCTAGGAACTTACAAAGGAAATGAGAGCTAGGCAAAACATTTACACACAAGAACATCCACTCCAGCATTACTTACAGGAGCCAGAAACGGGAAATCTGCACGTTCAACAGCACAGCAGAACTAACAACGCACCCGGGGGGGGTCGTCTGCAGCTACTAAAACATTAAGTTTTTAATAAGAAGTAACAACATTTATGGAGAATTCACATTAGGTTTCAATTATAGTAAAAAAAAAAAAAAAAAGCATGTGTGAGGAATAGTCAGTTTTCTTTTCTCTTTTATGTTTTCCTCCCAATTATCACATAATCATCACAACAACAACAACAAGAGGGTAAGATGTGAAAGAAAAAGACTCAGGGTCCCTTAAGGATGACAAAGCCAGGCCTCTGCTGACCGCCTGCCACTCCCCAAGTACAGCAGCTAAACCTCTCACACCACCAACTGAGAAAGAAAGAAAAAGACAAGGAGCCTCACAGGCCCCAGGGGTAGGAGCTGCGCCCCCTGGGAAAGGCTCTCTGACCGGGGAGCAGACAGTCCCCAGATCAGAGCCAGCCCCACTATAGCACAGTGGTCCAGCCTACTCTGCGTCGCCCCAGGTTTTACAAGTGAGGGGCCTAGAAGGACAGGAAGCCCTGGTCTTGCAAGTCTTTGGTGCTTTAAAGAAAGCATGAATTAGCTAATTCCACAAGCCAGAGCACCATTTAACATAATTGTCAGTAAGCTATTTGAAAGTTTGCCTTCTTGTGCATTTGCCTAAAAAGATGTGTTTTGTTTTGGCTATGAATGAAAATCTAATTCTGAACTCAATCTTGACCTCACAGTCCCCTCATCTCCACGCAAGGCTTCCCTAGGCGATTCAGGCCATGGTGACACTCCATCCAGGTCCCTTAGGTGGCTGGGCCCCATTCATGGGTTCCAGTCACATGCTCTAGGTAACATCTGCCTCAGTGTAAGCAAATGCGGGCTTTGTCCCTTGATCACACGTAAGAGAGTAATTGTGAAGGCAAGTTGGAAATTGTTGAGTGCTGCAGAAAGAATTGTTACAAAAATGCCCCAATCTTAAGTCTGCCCAACCTGGCTGGGCCCAGCACTGCACTCAAGGCTGACTCGAATCTCATTCACTAGAGGACTCATGGAGGGGCACAGCTCCTAGAGAGGGTGTGAGGCCAGGAAAAGAACATTCTAGTTGGTGCCAACATGTGGGCAGTACCCACTCAGCATCCGGCCAGTGCCAACATGCTGTGGACATGTCAGGATGGCCAAGGGCATCTAAGGCAACAGGGTGCTGCCAGGGAAGGCTTCCTGGAGGAAGCGGCAGCAGGGCTGAGGCAGAGGAGGAGCCAGCAGAGGAGTGGGAGGAGAGGACAGCATGCCGGGGCAGAAGGTAGCAAAGGCTCAGCTGAGAGCACTGGCAGATTTCTGGAACACAGAGGAACTCAGGATAGCGGAGGATACATGACCAGAAAAGAGGCTGGGGACTGGGAGGGTACAGGCCATCGATTCTAGGGCTCCTACACAGCAGTATCACAGATGCTGGGAGCCCACGAGGGGCTCCCGGAAGCCATACTGGGGACCCAAATGCCCCTGGTGGCTCCAAATGAAGGCTACACAATTTCAGAAACATTTCCAGGGCCACCCAGGCCAGATCCGTGTCTTCTCTTCTGTCCCCTTTAGGCAAATGGGGAGAGGAAGGAGAGACATTCTGGCCGTTAAGAGCGCCATTCTGATTCTATGAAGTGACATGGAGCATGGGGTGCAGAGACACTAACCGAAGCGGCCCTTGGCAACAGCTGGCCGGCCACCTGCCTGCTGCCTATGGGCAGCCTCACTACTCCAAGGTCAGTCCTTCCTAGGAGACTTTCAAGCACACTGGCTGATGCTAGCAGGTGTGACAGCCCCCTCAATGGACACAGTCCATAACAGGGACCTACTGATGCTTTGCTCACGCACCTTTTTCTCTCTTTCAACTTAGGAAGTACTAACCACTGCTAGAAGCTGCAAAACTGTATTCCAGGAAAGTACGTCTCCTCATCTTGAGGTTTGTGACCTCAACACCTGCCCAGCTTAGAACCCTCAAAGCTGATGCCGTGTGATAGGGAGGTTCTGGAGCTGTGGAAATCCCCAATCCACTGAGTCACTAGCACCAGGAGTGGGAGAGGCTTGGTGGAGTTTCTAGAAGCACTCCTTATGGCAGGGAAGCATTCATTCACACCCTGCAACATGCTTGGCCCAGGGGACCAGGGAGGAAGGAAAGGTCCTCACCCTAAGCCCAGACCCCCAGGGCCCTGTCAGGGTGGCTCTTGGAGCCAGGCCCATCCCCTCCGCAGTTACCCAGCCAGGTGGTCACTCCAGCACCCACAGGGCCATGGGGCAGGGCAAGCCCTGGTCTGCTGGAAGGAGAGCGAGGGTAACATCTGGAGCTCCCGAAACCAGGCATCCCATGGAATCTGGCCACTGACAATATTCATCCAGAGAGGTGCTGTGTCCCTGGGGCAGGTGGGAGAACTGCATCCTGACCTTCAAAGCACCCTGGTCCAGCCCCAGACTAGGGGAACACTCAGCAGGTGAACCTCAGTCTGATAGGCTTATAAACACACAAAGCCAAGATTACCCTGGCCTCTCAGGGAAGCTCATTAAAAAAGCAATCTACCTAGCGCCTGGAACAGAAATGAAGGGGGCGGGGGAGAACAGCACAGGAAGATGAAGCTCTGTCCCCTGCCTCATGGCACAGCCCACTCCCAAAGTGGACAGGAGAGGAAGGGCCTCCTGAGGACCCTGGAAACCCCTCCTCCACCTGGCCTGCATGCTGCTGAGCTCAGCAACTTCCAGGCAGAGGGGATGGCAGCCCACCATAGCAAGAGGCATCTGGCTGACTAGGCACGGCATTTTCTATTCTTGCTACACACACCCACCCTGAGGAGGGGGTGCTGGGCCTCCCTCGTGCAGCACCTGGGGGCTCTGTCTGCTCCACTTGGTCTCCGGGCTCTTGTCTGCAAGGGTGGCTGGGCCTCCTTCTCTGGTGGACAAACTCCAGAGAATGGAGGTCAGGGGGCCCTTCATCCTGGTGACCCAAAGGGAAACAGCCTCAGGAAATAGGCTGCAGAGAGTGTCCCAGTCTTGGCAGCCCCCAGAACAAATTCTGCACACTGTCCCCTCTGGGAGTCTCCCACGCTAATTCCCTCTGGCAGACAGGATGGTGCCTACCCCCATCCCCACTACTGAAGGCAGGGAGGTGCCCACCCGGGCCTATTTGGGTTGGTCCGTGCCCAGGTCTGGGGGGACTACAGTCCTGGTAGGCCAGCAGCTGCAAACTCCAGACCTGGCTTAGTCTAGCATAGAGTGGCTGGTCACAGGGGCAAAGGTGTGGGAGGTGGGTGCTACACCAGGAAAGCTCACCCATGCAGAGCAGACCAAGTGCTGAACAGGAAGCAAGGCTTCAAGGGCTTTGGGGTGGTAGATCTGTTACCAGTGGGGACTTAAGAGACCTGGAACATCACCTCGCAGGCTCGAGCTGCCATTTGGGGGCAGGGGGTGGGGCAGCCAAGGGAAAGTAAGATGACCTCTGTCCCCAGCTCCACGACCCTAATTTCCCGACAGTCAGGGAAAGACCACAGGAGAACTGAAGAGCTGAGCAGAGGAGCAATGCCATGGACCACGTTTCACTGTGGATTGGCCAGATCCTCAACCTTTATCCCCCAAACACACCAGAGACCCTGCCCCCTCTTGACCCAGAAGAGTGCCAACAAACACAGCTACACAGCTCACATAAGCTCCCCCACCCCCAGCCTGGCTGTAAGTGCAGTCCTAAGACAAATATAGAATATAAACAAAGGACAGGCAAGAAGACCTCACTCCTGGCTCTTCCCAGCCCAGATATCATGGGGAGAAGGCCCCCAGAGCACCAATATGAACAGGAGAAAAGAATCCAACTTTTAAGCACTGGAAACCCAGCCTGCTCTCTGAGGTTGTGGTTACAAAATGCCTCCCAGGAGAGCTGTCCCCCACACAGGTCAGCCCTGTGCCTCCAACCTCCACAGAAATGGGGGGCCCCCAAGGAAAGTGTCTGGTTGAATAGGTACCCCTGACCAACTCAGCTCCCCCAATCTAGCCGTTGGTCTGCTTTTGCTCCTCTTTCAGAGGGAGCTTGCAACCGGTTCTGGCCCAACTGGTGAGGGCAGGCAGCATTGCTTCCTCCCCGCCCCCAGCCCCAGGTCACACTCATGCCTTTGTTCTACCTGCACACACCGGCAGGCAGAGCCCACCCCCCTCCCTGGCAGCTCCTCCCCAGCCCTCTCCAGGTAGGCTGGGGGGCTGGGGGCCTCACAGGTGCAGGGGGAGAGGCACTTCACTTCTCTCACTTCCGCTTCGGGTGTGTGAGCGGCCAAGGTAAGCGAACACTCCAGGTGGGCTACACACGCCAAAGAACCCACTTTCGCGCCCGAAGACACCAGGCTAGCCTGGACCCACAGCTGGGGCGGGCCAGATTTTACACTGGCCCGCGACACAAGGCAAGTGACGGCCCCAGGACAGTGGGCTGTGACCCAAGGGAAGCCCAGGCACTGCGCAGCCTGGGGGGCGGGGGTGGTGGAGGGGGAAAAGTAGAAAGGCGAGGAGGAGGAGAAGGTGAGAATAGAGGGCAGGGTGACAACGGGCCGCAGCGGAGGAACTGAGAGCTCCGGGCGCCCAGCAGGTCGGGAGGGGGTCCAGAGCGGCTGCGGCGAGTGGGGGCCCCAAGAGTACAGGAGAGGGGAGCAGGGAGGGCAAGGAGGGCAGAGCAGGCCCAGGGGAGCCCGGCGGGGGCACGGCTGGGGCAGCAGCCTCTAGCTGGGACCGCGTCGCTCCGGGCGCTCACCTGGGCGTGCGCAACGCGGCGGGGTCCCGACGGTCCAGCACGCCGGGCACGCAGTTGGTGAGCTCGGTCCAGTCGGCGTGCAGCCCGCAGCTCCAGCCCGTAGAGAAGCGGGAGAAGAGCCAGGTCTCGCGGCGGTTGGGCCGGTAGCAGGTGCACTTCTTCTGGCCGGGCCGGCAGTCGCAGGGCACCTCGAGGCGCACGTTCTGCACGAGGTGGCGGCCGAAGGTGGTGCCACCGGTCTTCTGGATGTGCAGGAAAACGATCACATCGTCGCCCTTCATGTCGAACCGCAGCGAGCGCTCCAGCTCGCGCACAGGGAAGTAGTACTTCTTCTCGTAGTGCGGGTCGGGCGTGGGGAAGAGGTCCAGGTCGTCGGGCGGCGCGCGGCCGCCGGGCGCGCCCAGGCTCAGCCCCGGGCCCGCGTACTGGTACAGGATGAGCATGAAGCACGCTGAGCCCGCCACCACCAGCACGAACTTGCTGGCGCGCTCAACCATGGTCCTGCCGCCGGCGCGCCGCCGCCGCATGTGTCACCATCGCCGGCGGCCCGGGCGCGGGGCGCG